GATGCTGCTAGTGTGGAAATCCGGTAATCGGGCACGAAAACTGCTAAGCCAGGCGGCTGCTAAAATGGTTTCAGCGGAAAAATACAATATGAAATTGAATTTTACTCCATTCTATCTGTACCTAACTTTTAGATATTTACTGAGCGCTCGTGCGAAATCCCAACTAATCCCAACTATCCCAACTAATATTATAAATGCGAAAGTAACTCTGTCTGTCTGTCTGTCTGTCTGTCTGTCTGTCTGTCTGTCTGTCTGTTANAAATATCGATCGATTTCATTTATTTCAAGTCTCAAAGAAAGAGGACCAATCATTAAAATAGATGACCATATAGATTTTTTTATTTGCCGTTTTTGCTAATTTAAAAAGATCATTTAAATACATGCCTTTAACTATTAAAGCCCTTATGTGTTCACGAAGTTACTTTATCGTCACACAAGCATAATGATATAAAATCAAAGGAATGATTTCTCAAGACTATTAACTATTGGCTATGTCAATTTGTAACATAATAAGTACTCGCAATAGATACGACAATAACCCCCTTACTAATAAAACTTACACGCTCGTTGAACAGTGTTCTAAAGTGACGTTTAGTATGGAAATGTCATTTTAAAACAGTGATCAACAACTGTGTAAATTTTTATTAGTAAGGGGGTTCGATTTTAGATTAGGTACTGCACATTTTTTTTACAAACCGGTGTTTAAAAAAGGAATAGATATTCGCACAAAAATTGAAGTTCCGAAGCGAACGCGGAACTTTTTCCCGCTGCACCACTCGTGATAGCTTTGCCTTACTTTTTATTGCTTTATTTATAACTTTGTTTTTACTACCGTGTCACGCGTTTTCCATAAATTTGGAATATTAGTCACTGCTCCCTCGGAATACAGCTCACAGATATCACTAATCTTAAAGGGTCAAACTATAGGATCTACTTAGCATATTAATATGCCGTTAAATCCCAAATTGCTTTTAAATTCCTACATATTAATTTCCCTGCTCTCCAATAACCATAAAACCGGGAACATTTTATTTCTTGACTGGCAACATTTTACGATTGGTCCCGTAAAACGAAAGGACTATTATTTTGAACCGGATCTGTTAGTAGGTAATATTAATAAGATGTTACAAACTTTGTTTGTTATTATGGAATAAGTACTTGTAAAGAAAATAAATAGGTAGTGCCTAGATTTATCTTTATTGTAAACTACACAAAATTAATAACTAAATCACAAAAAACTAATTATTGTAAGATGATTACATTAATTGAGATAAGAATGAAATGAAATTACTGAAATGAACCACTTATTTTAATTAAAGATTTCTACCACTTTATAAAGCAGATATTATTTCATGAGAAGAATTTTTGAAATGATTTTAAATAAACCTAGAGAATTTACTTTTGGTTACTCAGCACAAAATAGAAAACTCAATAATAAGATTGTAACTCGCGAGATAATAACATAAGATTAAAGTCATCATCATCATCATCATTTCAGCCACAGGACGTCCACTGCTGAACATAGGCCTCCCCCAATTTTAAAGTAATCCATCGAAAATCCTGGTGATTGTAATTAATTACCCATCCCCTAAAAAGATTACCCTTATCCCATTAAGAAATCAAACAACGGGTACAAGAAACCCGATAATTCTGCAAATGCTATCCGGACCCGGGGTAGGCCCTCCCGGCTTCTCTGCGAATCTATACCCGGCTATAATTTGGCCTTAAGGTCTATAGTGATGTGCAATTTGATGTATCAGTTACTTAGCCGGTTATTGTCGACAGGTTCAATCAACGCAGAAGATTATGATGATTTTTAAATAGAGTCGAACACACTATTCTTCTTCTTTTCGTGTCGACAACAAAGCTACACAGTGTCAGCCCAAAACTCCGCCACAAGAGTGGCGTAAGGCGTTGTCAGCAGCATTCATCAAATCCTCCTGAGTGCAGCTGCTCGGGCACTCAGGGCACGACATCAGGTGCTTCATCGACTGGGGAACAAAACCGCACCTGCACTCCATGTTTAAGCCATCCAAGAATCCCCACCTGACCAGATTGTCCTTACTACGGCCAACCTGCGTTCGAAGTCTATTTAGAGACTTCCAGGTAAGCCAGGGGTAACACACTGTTAAGATTACAGTAATTGAATAAACCTACATAAATAATACGAGGCCCTATCTGCACAAATGGTTCACTAAACATTTTCTGTGTGTGTATTCTTGGGCAATTAAAGTAAGGAAAATGTTCTGAATGAGATGGATGGCAGTGACTGTTACGATAACCACTGTCCTTGATAATTTGCAATACTTTAGAACAGTATGAAATGTTATAAATCAAAAACTCGGCAGGACTCGATATCGACACCTTCACATCCATCGATACGATGAACTCGACTTTTCAAAGGATTAACTACATCACTGTCTGCTGATTAATCACATATCAGTTAACAGTGTCGGCTTCCTAATCCTAAGTGGGGGATGTGATCATGTGTTGATTTCCTTAGCCCTTATCCAGCGACTTGGAAAATTAGGGGCTAAGGAATAACGGCCATTGCAGTGATGTAGCGTACCTTATAGGGCCCTGTATCAAAATTAATTGGGGGTCCTTTTTATTTATAAAATGGTCAATGCAAACCAAACAGGGCATCTGACCGAAAAAAACGGTCATTGACCTAAAAAGTAACAATGCAACACATCTCTTCAAGTAAGAAGTACCTACTGCGAGCCAAGGTCTAAATTTTGATGAGGAGCTTCCAGTATTTCATCCTTAATTAAAAAAAAAAAAGTTTAATATTGGTTTATTTACTTAGATGTTAACAAGTCACAGCTACCTTAAAATGATTTTGAGAAGCACAATGTGGACAACTAAATCAAATATAAACATGGGCAAAAATAACGTTACTTTCCAGTCCTCCTATTACCTTGTGGGGCACTTAGGCAGTTGTCTACTCTGCCTTAATCCGTACCTGAGGGCCCCCCTGTAGCCTCGTAGTAAGGACTGTAGCCTGGGGGTTACTGTACCTCGGGGGCCTCCCTGTATTCCGGGGGCCCCTGTAGTCCGGGGGCCCCTGTAGTCCGGGAGCCCCGTATCATTGATACGGCGGTAACTACGCCCCTGGACCACCGTAAAGACTTTTATTCTGTAAACGCCACTCTTCGTTGCCATGCCTTTGGAACTGATAAAGCTACGCTAATCACTCCATTAAGCTGCTTCCTTCTGTTTCGGATTAGACGATTTGTTGAAATAAGCCGTGTTTTGTTTCAAGTAGGGTTTAATTAGATAGGTATTAACTTTCAAGATTTGGCAAATAGCAACGGCAAAATGGAAAGAATAGAGTCAAAAATACTTTTAAGAGCACAGAATACTGTAATATTGTAACGCCCCTGGGACTGCGGGTGTCTATGGGCGACGGTAATCACTTATAGTTCCAAAATACTGGACTGTCCTGTCGATGACAGTGACAGCGGGGCGCCACCGTCAATACCGGATCGCTGGTTCAGATTTTTGCCATGTTGGAAACCATATAGTTGAACGATGGTAGCGCCCCCCTGTCATTGAGTTTGGTGGGACAGTTCAGCGTGGGTCATCTATACCATTAGGTGATCCGTCTGCTCGTTTGCCTCCTGTCACAAAAAAAGACCTACCTCTTTTTATGTTGTGTTCACGGGCATACGAGTATAACTTTTAAGGTGAGAAAGAAATATCTAAAACTACAAAATATCAAAAAAATATTATCATGATAAGATCTCTCTCTCTATCTCTCTATTTCTCTAAATTACGAGCACCTTATGGCCTACCTCTACATCTTAAGAGATTTTAACATTAATATTATTATTAAGTTCTTAATGACAGTATACAAACTTATTTATTTATTGAAGATTGATTAGTAATCCCAATCGATCCTAAGTTAAGCTGCCGTTATCTCGGCGGACCAAATTACAGGCTTAAGAAAATCAAATTAAGACAAACAAAACGGAGTGTAATGTTCATCTTCGGAAGTTTAATGAATTCCCGCGGAGAAATGTACCGAGCAATCAATCAATGTGGGCTTTTGATTACATCTTTTGAACCTGCTGGCTGCAGCCTCAGGGTGCAAGGGGGAAGTGTGCAGAAGGACCAGTTTCCATTTCATGTTAAAGATGTTTTGATAACTGTTATGATTGCTTTGCAGCAGTTGGGGCAGCAAGGTTCTGGAGTGGAGGCCGGAAAACGTGGATCGTAGACGAGGAACCGTGGGACCTCTACCTACTTACAAGGTGGACCGACAACCCCTTAAAGGTAGCAGGAAGGCGCTGGATGCAGGCCGCTACCAACTGGGCGATGTGGAAGTCATTGGGGAGGCTTATGTTCAGCAGTGGACGTCCTGTGGCTGAAATGATGATGATGATTGTGTTGTGACAAAAAATAACGTGGAAACTTATTAGACTGGAGGAAACTTCAGATGTATTTAGTGTTGGAAAAGATTGAAGGGAGTAAGAAGCTGGATGGAATGAAAGACAAACGAGGTGTTGGAAATAAATTATGAATGAACTTAAAGATGGATATGTGTTGATGAGCACCTTCATGCTGTATAACGTAGAGCTGGCTAGCTGGAACCGCTATGATAGAACTGTCATTTATATTCAAATATGATGTTGTCTTTAGCTGTGTAATGGCTGTGCCGAACTCTCTATTGTAAATATTCTACGTGTGCTTTGATACCAATATATTTATTATGTTACTACCAACCACTGTGTTTATTGCTCTGTAGCGGACTTAATATATCCCTAACAAGGGTTATGGGCCCAGAGCCCCAGAGCAAAGTAACATTTTAAAATAGTTTGTCNCTTTCTCTCCAGGGACACTGGTCGAGCGTCTGCGTGGAGACTTACTTGTTGATATTGGAGCCTTCCTTCAGCTGGTCGCCCACCACGCCCGTCTTGACGGCTCGCTCGGAGCCAGCCAGATCCACCAGCGACAGCCTTTCTCTCCAGGAACTTCGGTCGAGCGCTTGCGTGAGGACTTACTTGTTGATATTAGATCCTTCCTTCAGCCGGTCACCCACTGCACCGGTCTTGACGGCTCGCTCGGAGCCAGCTAAGTCCACCAGCGACAGCCTGGCGACTTTTTCGCCAGTGACACCTGTCGCAGCGTCACAAAGCGTCTGTGTGAGGACCACGCTGAACACCGCGTGTGACCGGGATGACTCGCTGTTCATATTTGTGGCAGCCACTGTCCGGGATTTGTTGCCTTCAGTCATAAGGTTGTCGATGTCCTGTGGACAACAATAATAGACAATTTAGACAAGTTACTTTATGGATAATAAGACTGCATAAAAGAGTCGGGCGGCATCATATCATGTCAAGAGGAACACGTTGCGTATAGAAATAAAATGTCTCTGTATTTTATTCATAAAAGAAAGTTCGTGACTATTCCCACCTCTCGTTCCCACCGCTGCATCTCCCAGGATCTACAGCTTGACCGCCTCTACAAACCCAACCAGTGAAGGTCAAGTTTGTCCCGGGGGAAAGTTAAACTGTCATTGGACCCGCAACGAAATTAAATCAGAAGAACGCGAAATCTCGTAAGATATGAAAGGATGTTAATTCAACCCACATTAATGAATGAATAGATGATAGATACCTCATTGCACTCCACACAAAATCCAATCCAGTAAAGTTATATTAAATTGTAAAAACATCAAAGGTTATCTAAAAGACAGATAGAAGGCAGACTCAAACTTTCACAAAGGACGTTAATGAGTTTGCAGCTATTTGCAGTTGTGTACAAAACGTCCAAGAAAGCGCTAGCCTCCCTAGAAATACTTCTAAAATGAACAAATATTTACATTTTCCTCGAAACGCTACTTCAGCAACTCTACCTTTAGGTGAGGGATTATAAATATCAAGAAACTTCATGAAGCAACATCACGATAGCTTAATTTTAAGGGCTTAGACTTTACTTAGAGTAAACAGGCCTACTACGCAACGTAATTTCGGCATACTTCCGGGACGTAGGCATAACCTATCGCATTCGCTCAAGAAGGGCAGAAAGAGACGCATAGATCCGAACTAAAGAACACATTGTTTAGAGTAGTCCCCTAGAACTTCATCCAATATTGTGACGACGTGCCCAAACTTGAGTTGTTCTCAACTTGCCCTGGGTCGCGGGTGCTCGCACCAACTTCTCAGAATCAAAATTAAACTCACCTTCATTCAATATTGCGAACTTTAATATAAGCTGCTAATACATTAAATTGTTTGCATTTTCATGGAATGGTTAGACATTTTGATAGAATTAACAATACACAGATACTCTTAACGTTAAAAATGCTCGAACCCGATGCTGCTAGTGTGGAAATCCGGTAATCGGGCACGGAAACTGCTAAGCCAGGCGGCTGCTAAAATGGTTTCAGTCCACAGTAAAAATACAATATGAAATTGGATTTTACTCCATTCTATCTGTACCTAACTTTTAGATATTTACTGAGCGCTCGTGCGAAATTGGTTAATAAAGTTCAGTGTATCAATCGGCGAACAGTAATATAACAAACGATACCGTAACCCCCAGAGGTTCAGTACACAAATTACCACTGGATGAATACGAAATTCGATTCGGAAAATATTCGCTTCATCTCTGTGTTTCGTTATTTTTATTGGTCGGAAGGGCCGGGTAAATTTAAATTAGACCTTTTTATACAGGCATAACCCCTCTCAATCAATTTGGATGCGAAGGATTTGGAACAATATTCTGGCAAATTTCCATAACAGGCTAACGCAGCGATTTCCGCGATCCGGGTGAAACGCGTGGCGAAAGAGGTTTTCGGCTACTTACGTTATGCCACCCTGGAGTAATGGAAGAGACTTGTAGGATTAAGTGTCAAAGCAATTCTAAGATGACTTATTTAGGTGAACTTACGTACTTTTATTTATGTGTATACTGAACAGCACTATAGCTATACATTTTTGTTACAAAATTGCTCTTACAAAAAAGTATTTGACGTGCTATTGCCTGTACCAAATATTTTCATTTACAGTGTTTAACAAGGGTCATATTCTCGAAACTATTATTATAATGATTTTTTTAGAAGATTATTAGTAATTTGTTATTGCACAAATTACTAATACTCTCGTTAGCCCCTCGTATTAAGCTAAATATGCTTGTGTCACGAGTGAGCTCATCACAATAGTCGAGCGGCAGCGGGGCCCGAACCCGCGTTCCCCGGATCACGAGTCAGCCAGCCCGACCCCTTCAAAATCAAAAAATCAAAATCAAAAATCAAAATCAAAAATATTTATTCAGTTTAGACCACAAGTGGCACTTACTTCACCGTTCGGCTATCGTATTTAACTATTATTGTAAATAATGAGTAAACCAATTTAGTCAAAAAACCACGATACCCTACCTGCATACTAACCACCTTACCTTCAATATCTTAATACGAGAACGCACACAGCATACGAATTCCCACCATTACCCATTCCAACCACGTAAAGAATTCATGTCATCGTGTAATACGGAAAAATAACGAGTTGACGTGGCGTTTTTCTTCATTAACCGAAAACTCGGTACGGCGCTGTCCCACATCTATTAATATTTAGAACAATACTTTAGCTGGAGCACGCTTTAAGCAACGAGGAAAACCGTGGCAAAATATTCAAGAAAACGCTCCAAAACAGGCATATACGCCAAACAGAACAGTAAACCGCCACTCGAGTGATGCCATTTAAAATACGAGTTATATGCAAACGGCATACAGAGAACCATGAGTTATTGAGAGCACAAACTCCTTTCTACCATCGAGGAACAGAGATTCGCGAAAACTCTTCGTTCGGTCGTTCGTTTCAGCCAAATGACGTCCACTGCTGGACAAAGGCCTCTAAATTTCCATAACATAAATATTTTTGACTTGTTATTTGATCTTTCGAAGGCTAGACTCAATAAGCACTTACATACTTGGTAAGAAGGGTATAAACACTAACCTTACGTAGTGTGTAGAGAGTGGGAACCCTAAACTACATCAACACTTCACATCAAGTGTAATGGCCGGCTTATCTTATGACGTTGTAAAAGAAAATGTTAGCTACACAAGCTTCTTTGAGACTTGGAATAAGAATCAAAATCCTGAAGGTTTCTTTCTTCTTTTGAATTTTTCATGCTTGCTTTATTTNTTGGATCCAAGTGTTATTCATCATGTAAAAAGATTGAAGACTGCACGAGAGGTTTGGCTGAAATTAGAGAGTCTGTTCGTATCACGTGGACCTGCGAAAAAAGCGACCCTGATGAAAAGGCTCATGCTACACAAGATGAGTGAGGATCAGAACGTATACGAACATCNCTTTATTTGCATTCACAAATGACATGGATTAAACTTACTCCTATTAAATGTATTTGTGTATACTGATATAGCTGTTCTCCTTTATGGTGTGTCATTTTCAGCTGAACAAAAGCAAAGAGCGGTTTTCAATTCCACGAAACATTGTTGTTTCGGTCGAGATGAAATGTGCTTTGAGAAAGCTTCCGTAAATAAAACAAAAGCTTGTTCTCGATATCTCAGAGCTTTATTGGGCGGAATTGAAAGATATCAGAACTACTTACACTGCTAATTACACAAGAACGGAGTAATACTGAAATACCAGATTTGTAGAAAAGATGCTCGCTTTCTGACCCGAATTCTTGGAAAGGTCAAGGGTGTTTGTTGAGCAAAAGGTAAATAAACCATAATAAGGATCGTAGATTGACTTACGTTAAACAATAATATACATTGTATGACGTATCACGTAACACAAGAAGCATGTCGAAAAGGTAATTAAAATTATGATGAGTGAGTTTCTTATGCTGCAGGTTAGTGAGTTTCTTAGGCTAACAGGTTATTGCTGAGAAAAACTCAGCAATAACCTGTTTATTGTCCCGAAGCACTGGTAGGTCTAAAGTAATACCTACTGGGAAGTTTAAAAGCATACTTGCAAAAAAATAAATGACATTTATGCTAAGTACTGTATGTGTAATAAACAAGTAGGTAGAAAAATCAATTCTGATAAACGTTTGCGTCAGAAATAACATCAACAGCGTAATCGTTTTACTCGAAACTTCGGTTCCCCAAAATATCTAGATCGCATTAAGAGATTTGCTAGATCCACGATCAGGTTCAAGGCCCGAAGCCTTCCAGGCGAGGATTACCATCGACCTTTGGTAATCTGCTGTTTTCACTTTGACCGTTTACGAACTGTGTAGAAGTTACGAATACAACCAGTTGGAAAAGCCTTTTATCGTTTCCGAGAATTTACTAATTTACTACTATTCTGATAAAATCTTACCAATAAATATAAAAAATATTATAAAATTAGTGAAAGTTTGTGAAGATGGATGGATTGTAAGGATTTTTACCTATTATCCTTTCATGCAAACACTATCGAACGAATTTTAATGAACCTTTACAGTTTTATTGTTTATTACATCAGAATAACGTAAAGGCTACAATTTATAACGACATTATAAATCTACGCTGGCGAAGAAGCCGCAAAAGCAAGTACATTATTTCCAATTTTCTGTTGTCACTTATCGTATCCATACCATTAAGTACATTCAAGCAAAAGGAGGCTACATCATAAATAAATCGCTTAATTTAGTAAAGTAGGGAAATTACTGGAAGCGCTTCCAACTCATCCATTAACGTAACAAGATTAGCGGCTCGATAAACTGGAATCGACGGGCTCAATAAAACGAAACGAATGGCCGATGATTGATAAATTTATAACGCGTTCGTAGGCAACGGTAATGTAGGTAATTTGGAATTAAGACTAAAATATATACGTAAGCGATGTTGTTTCGAAATACGCGAGTAAATTTATGTGGGCAATGTAATTTAGAAATAGAGAAGTAAGACTTCACTAATGTTACCTTAATATTTAAGTGATTTCCAGCTTTAGATTATTCATGTATTCGTCTGTGATAATGTCCCTTTTTGTCTGATTTAAACGTGTATATGGTTGCTATTGAATAGATTAATCACAAATATTAATCAAATCTTGAATGTAGAGTTGGAAGATTTTTCAAATATGTATATGAAGCACCTTTGATGATATTATGAATTGACTTTAATATAACCACAATATTATGTAGTCAGTCTTAAATAAATAAACTAACATAGCCCTCAGGCCTCTTAATATCCTAAGCTCGTACTTAAATCCCATTACATTGTTATTCCACAAAAACAATAAGGCATAAGTAATCCGACAATCGAGGGTTACACATTAGTTTATCGGGCCCTCAATA